ACAGCTTTACAGCATTAATATAACTTACCACGTCGTGCAACACTCATAAACATTAGTAAGATGTGATTTTATGGCAGGTTCGGCTTTTTAGTTTAAGCTAACAGCAGCATAAGTACACTACTGGTCCGCCGTTCGTTTTCTTCTTCTACATATTAATTCACGTACCAACACAAAACAACTATAGAGCCCCCTAGTGGAATTGGAGGAGTGAATCCAACAATAATTGCACTGCAATATTTGGCTATTTTAAGGTGGACCTCCTCCCATGTCTACAGTGTTTCAGGTTTTACAGGTCTTTCTTTTTTTCGGGAAGTCTCTATATTTAGCTCCACCTTCCTGTTAATTCTGATCAGCTTACCTGTTGCTACTGAAGACAAGCTTCTCAGCATGACGCTGCCAGCGCCATGTTTCACCATGCATTGCCAAAAATCGCAATGTAATTTACTACCACCTCATAATCATGTGATACATTTTGTGGGTCTTTGCATCAAATCTTGATTAAATACATTAATATTTGTGGTTGTAGCTTTAAAAGCTGGCTAGGGTTTAATGGGCATAAATACTTTTGCCCGCGATGGCACACATATCCCCAATACTCGACCCCCTTTAACATCTTCCCTTCTGCTTCTCCATTTTTGTCCTGTGCCTCCAAGCGAACCTTATTCTGAGCTCTTTCCTTGTAGACAGTGCCAGATATGTGTCCACGCTTGGTTGGCCATATCCAAACAGGTTAAAAATAACTATCAAAAGTTTTGTCCTCATGTCCTGAGAGCTCTACTCTCTTCTCACACTGGAGGAACCCTGGGAAAAGAATCTTTCCCTTACGCACATGGCACTCGTAACACCAGACGCGGTTGTGCATAAAACATCCAAGCAAATGCATCTGTATGCAAGCTCCGTTCAAACACACACAACGTACCGAATAAAACCTAAGAGGCTCGCACTTTAAGGTCGCAGAAATAATAGGGTTATTGGAACAGTGACTCTGTTTGCAGTGAAACACAACCTGCACTGTGGGAATGCAAAGCACTTTCCTACTGCTGTTGTAAGTATGGGAAAATTGCTGAAACAACAAAATGGGATGGAAGTCATGGAGGGCTGAAAAATGGAAAGAACAAGAAAACAAGCAAACCGGAGAAACAAAAATGATACGTTGGGAGGAAGCAGAATAAAAAGGATAAACATTTTTTTCTCCTGGAGAAGTGCAGAGAGGGGCGCTCTGAAAGGAAACGAAAGGGTTAGGTGTCGGTTTTAGGCACGGAGAAGTCACTGTTAGGAAGTGTTAATGTGGACCGTAGCTGGGAGTTAGGGAGAATTCTGGGGGCCGGTGGGTCAGACACGGCTGACACACTCGGATCAGCAATGGGATTGTTTCCACTGGAAAGAATTCCGGGAATGAGCCAGAAGAGCTATCAGTGACTTCACTCAGAGGACAGCAGTTTTTATACACAGCCAGCCGGCCGCGCAGCTCTCTCACACTTTTAAAGATACTGCATCTCGTGCCAACAGCGGTGTGTCAGACTCTCTCTGTCACTCCCTCGTGTCGCTGTGCTGCGGCCAAGAAGTGTGGTCACACCTCGAACCAGCGGCTGAAGCGTTTGCGGGGACATTAGGAGCATGGAAATTGCAATAGGAAATTCCAGTGCCTTCAGAATGCATACATGCTCAATGAATGCAAAATATCCACTGAGTAGAGAGCACTGGAGTGAAGCATATGCAGCTTACAAAAGATGAAAATCATGTTTTTTGTTTTGTTTTTAATTGAGGTTGGTGTTATCTCCCCTGGAGCCTCTTTACGTTTTGTCACTTTATGACCACAAACATCAACGTCTTTCTATTAGGATTTTGTGTGACAGACCAGCACAAAATGCAGCATAACTGGAATGTCAAGGAAAAACTACATAGTTTGATGACTAGAAAACAAAGAAATCTGGCGTGTCTTTGTTTTCAACACCCTGAAATAAAATCTTGTACAAACAATAGCCTTCATAAGTTTAAGGTTTACACGTTTAAGCGTTCTAGCTAAGATTCTTGCTTTTAAACCTTGAACTTCTCAGATGTAAAATATTTGTAAAAAAGACGGGCCAATTTCCCTATTTCAATTCTCTGTAGAACTGCAAAAAAGCAACCCTTTAATTACAGAGATATCTTTATAACTTAGTAAGCTGGATGAAGAAACAATAGTGAAGATAAGAGCTGTTCAAAGTATCAAAAGGCTGCAGTCCATTACTGGAGGGCCTCTTTTCATATCTTCTTAACCTCTAAGGCACAGGACCTCTCTTTATTAAAACTGAAGGATATTGCCGTCTCCAGCAATATCTGAAAGTCACTGTGAAGTTCAGAGGTCTCTCACTGACGTCACATCATTGCGTAGCATGGTGCAAGTTCAGACTGCGCCTCCAAGGACTGTACCTCTTCTTGTGATTTCTTTTTTTTTTTTCCATGATCTCATTACTTTTTCCACTGAGATCAAGCAACACTCATTAGTGAAGTCACAAAAAGCTATTCATTACAGCATCCTGAACCAGACGTCGCTTCTTTACGGCGGACACACAAAATTGTTGCTCAACATTTTCCTTTTTTTCTTTTTCTTGATATTCATAACTCTCCCATTCCCAGTCCCCCCCGCCCCAAAGAACAAGGATAGAGATGGTTCATAGAGATGGTTCTCACTGTTTCGCCCCCTAGCAGCTTTCCACGGCAACTCTGACACACTTTTCCACAAGTGCCAGATAATCAGTAGTGACCAGGACGGTTCTTATTACAACATGTCTCCTTGTAAATCACCTGACTAGTTTCCTTGACTGACTGATTAGAATGTTATTTCCATAAATTTCTTTCTGGCTGGTGCTCAGCAATTAATTGGATTTGAGATAATTCTGTTTAAAAAACTTAATTTGTAATTTATATTCAGTGAGTGGTGTATTTATTGATATTGATTCAATTTCTTACATTATTATACCATACAATATCAATTTATACAGAAATACAAGCCTCCGGAAATGTGGGTTTATGTACTGTGCAGTATATGCACTCCACAGTTTGTGGTTATTTTTGCTTCATTGCAGCCTGCTGTAGCATGGATAGGCATTGCTTAGGTGCTAAGGAAGCCCAGTGTGCTTTACTAGTGACCTTCAACAAGTCTGCTTGGTTGGTGCTGGTGTCTCTTATCATCCTTCTGATAAATCGTCTGTAGATTTTATATGAATTTTTTAAGATCAGGTGAGATTCCTGGTCGATCAATACCAAGGTCATTAACCGGGGCGTTAATACCTTTCACAGTGTGGGCAGCTGCCAAGGCCTGCTGGAAAACCAATTAAGACCCTTCAGGAATGGGCTAACACAATGAATGTAACATTTGTAGCCCATTTGTCCTGAATGTGTCTTCGTGTTGTGACTCTTGAATCGCAAGCCTCTCGATATTGTCATTTTTTTTTTTTTTTTGCTCCTTAGTTTTTCCTTCTACTTAAATTTTCAATGGATGCACAATAAACAGCCAGCCTTTTTTTTTTTTTTTTTTTTTTAGTTTTTTTGGCTTACCCCGAGGAAAGGATAGTTTTCAGGAAACGGTCTGCTGAAGTTTCAGAATCGTAACTTTTTTAGCCAGTTTTACGCAACATTTCTTCTGAGATACTTAACTTTTACTTCCCAGTACTCCTGAGCTAATGAATATGAAGATGGATTACAATGTTGTGGAATTTAGCAAGAAGAAAAAGAGAAAATAAACTTAAGTGACTTCAAACATTAACCATTTAGTTAGATTAAGTGTCCAACAGGGAACAGAAAAAAAAAGCGTATGCATCTTTATGCATAGCAGAAACATCTGGCCTCAACTGTAACAGGTTGAACTTTAGCATCCTTGTATTTGAATCTTTCACAATGCACCTGTGACAGACCAGAGTTGTTGCTTCCACAAGCTCAATGCATATTTGTTTCAAGGATAACCCCCCTTGAGATGTATCCAGTACTGTTAATCTTAGTGTACCTGCAAAAGCTTTCAAGAGGGTTTAAAGCGTTCCCCCCCACCCCCCCAGACTGCTTAAGCTTCCCTTCGTCAAACAGCTACCGGAGCTTAATGTAAAACTGAAAGCGGTTCCGAGTTCAGGAATGAGTTTTTGCTGCAAGTAGGAGAAAGACTGTGTGCAAGCCGAAGACAGGAAGTAGCATGTGGCTGCTCTCGCTTCTATATATATACACACACACATATACACACACTTGATGCATCTGTTTTCATAGAGGGAGAGAGAGAGACGTGAAAGATGCCAAGCAGGAAGCAAGACTGCTTTTCTCCAACCACTGCAGGTAAGGTGAGTGGGGGTAAAGCTGAGTGCGTGGGGGTTTACAAGAGGAAAATTACACGGCGCTACTGGAAACTGCTTCGAATGCAGAGGATTACCCAGTTTCAGAAAAAAGACCAAATAAAAAGACTCAAAAGTGTATAGGAAATTCAATTTCTTTATTTACAATCTCTAGAATAATTAATGAGAAAAGTGGTCTAAATACAAAAAGAAAAAAAAAAAAAAGAAAACACCAAGGATAACATGGCGGCTAATCTCCCTGAGCTTACAAAAACAACGTGGGGACCTGTAGGAGACGTGACATGACAAAGATGTTCTGTATACAGCCCTAATGCCACTCACATGAGAAAGATTGAAGAGACGCACATTAGTCATGCTTCCACAACAGTAACATCAAACTCTCCACAAAAAAAAAAAAAGATCTTTTCCTCTAACCTTGTTTGAACTGCAAACTTATGACTCCTGGAAAACAAGTCATTTGTAAATTATAGAGCCACACACACACACACACACGCACACAGACAGAAACTTCCAAACACCTTCTGGTAAATAGTCATAACGGTGAATGAAGAGTACTGCTTCAGGTATTGCCAAATTTTGATGTGAATCAGAACCATATGGAATCAAAAAGTATGGCTGCTTTTAAAAAAGAGGAAGACTAGAAAAGATGGTAAAGTCATCACACCACCAAGCATCTGTTTGGCTTACTAAGAACATGTATTTGCACATCCTTCATTGGCTCTGTACATTGATCTATCAAACTCCTCCATGAACATTTTTTGCTTCGTCATCCAAGCTTTGCTTCTTGGAGGCCAATATGACAGATTTAATAGCATAACTCTGGTTTCAGTGCACATCAAGCCTGCAAAGCAAATCAGTTACACCTTTCATCTTTCGATTTTCTTTTCATTTGCCAACAAATAAGTTTACACAAGTAAATCCTGTGCAGAAAAAAAACAAACCAACTAACTTTTTTTTTTTTCACAATATATCCACTTCTCAAAGACAACCAACATTCACATCGAGGACACAGATCTATAGACAGCAGTGGCAATAATATAGCAATAATAATAATAATAATAATAAAAACAGTGCACTGTACAATAACTTCCCACAGGTACCACAATTGCTCTGCACACAGGTATAAAGACTCTGGGGTCATGATGCCGGCCATTTGGGAGTCAGAGCAGCAGGGTCTCTTGTAGAGGAAGGGCTTCTTCACAAAGCACTAAGCTGCTGCTGCTCTTGAGCAGGGCATCAGCTTCGACTTGACACATGCTGATGGACGCGCTAGGAAGTAGGCGAGGGATGGAGACTTTGTCCACCATTTTGGTGACATTTCCACACAGAATGAAGGTTATTCTGTGTACTAAGCAGTGAGTTTTTTTTTTTTTTTCTCATTTTATTTTTTTGTTTTAGTTTTGACGGATGTGTGCGTTTGTCATGGCTAAAGGGATAGCATCACGAGACACCGGGCGTGTCAGTTGAATGTGCTGGAGTGCTCCAGTGAAGTGTGACCAGTGTGTGTGAAAAAAAATACTGTCCCTCAGAACCAAAGAGCAAAGTGAACATGGTGCTGACCCGCCCAGCCTCTAGTGCTGGGAATTCTGTGCTGGCTGTCCATTTTGCATGCCGCAGTCGTTTTGCTCCTCTTCGTCCTCTTCTTCCTCCTCGCTGACGAGAAACTCCTCCGGAGGCCAGCGAAGCTCTCCGCTCTCCACCTCTCCTTCCGTCGGCTCGACCACGATGGACGGGAGGCGATCTTTAAGCTTACAGCAGCGGTCGAAATCCGAGGGGTCCGGAAATATCTGGGAAGGAAAGACGGGGAGCATTAATCGCTTATCAGAGGGAGTTTGCGCAGAGTTTACATCTGGTATTTAGAAATACGAGTCGGTTCTACTTCAGCTACAAGACCGTCGCTTAAGAGACGGTGTGCATTTTCGATCAGCACTTTCATGGTAAAACTAGCAGCTGTAGAGGGCTAAATAACTGAGAGCTGACTAAGCATCTGATGAGAACCGATTACACATTTGTACCTGCTCTTGCTCATCCCACATTCCTTAAGGTAATGTAATCTTGCTTTCCTCATACTTGAGCAATTTGTTTTTGCATGCATGAATAAGTCAGTCAGTGCCATGCAACCTCAGCGTGAAAGGTCTCCACATTGGTAAATAGCCCAGAGTACATTTGTGCAACACAGAATGTCTTTTTTTTTTTTTTTTTTTACATCAAAGACAATGAAGGCTAAAAAGTAGAGATGGAGAAATTAGCTGGACTGGAAACTCAAATCAGATTTTTATTAAAAACCAGTAAATGCACCATAATTAAGTGTTACCAGGGTCAGGTGGTGCAAACATAATTCAGTGCTTAAGTGGTTACTGAAGGAAACCATTTTCAGTATGAATTGGACGCTTGAAGATTAGAACCAAAGCCACTTACAATTAATCTGAATTAGCATTGTGAATGGACAGCCAACATGACCCGATGTCTTCTTTTCCAAGGGAAAACCTACAGATTTAGAACCTACTCAACAAGATTTTCTATATTCACCTCCATCTGCTGTACGTGAAATGATTACGACTCCAGTAAATCTCATCAACTTGCAGAAGGTCGCTCACAGGCACTCTTTTCATCAGAGGGTCATAATGAGTTATACATAAAAAGAGTCGACTGGCCCCAAAAAGGAATCGGAACCAAAACCATTCCGATTAGAAGGGGAATAAAATTAAAGCATGCAAGATTCTTGAGGGGAAGAAAAAAGTGAAAGCTGGTAACAAATCTGATTGTTGCATCTCAACAGAAGTTTAAAAAACATTTTTTTTTAAACTGAAGGACTTTCTATCTTCTAAAGTTAGTAAGCTAAATGGAAAAGCTTGAAGCTGAAATGAAGTGCATAAGAATTGGTTTGACAGACTATATAATCCTCTGTTCAACCTCCAAGTTTCTCAGGAACAGGAGAAATAGCTCTGGGGAGGGGACGGCCTGCCACTCCTGGTCCAAGAACAGCAGTTTTCTTTCTTTCTTTTTTTTTTTTTTGCTGTTTGGATAAAGTAGATTAATATTTTTAGACCTGCATATTTCACTCCAAGTCACAGGGGTTGAGTTTGAGGAAAGGGGTTAGATGAGAGGGGGGAGGCTGGGAGTGGGGTAAGGGGGGAGGGGGGCAATGTCGCTGTCTGGGCACAGAGCCGAGTGGAAAGAAAGCATTCTGAGAGTCAGAGTGAGACAAGAGATAAAGAGATCCAGCTGTGTCCGACTCTTCCTGAATTCCTTAAGAAACTGGGAGCAAAAACAAACGGAAAGCTATAAATATGCTCAACAATTTAGCTCTTCTCAGGTAATTTAAGGCTGCATGTTCTTATCAGCAGCACTCTAGGTTACCAAACAAGTTCACAGCAAGCTGTAATTATACGTGGAGTCGAGCCTCGATGTGTAAATTAAGGGAATATCCGTTTTTTTTTTTTTTTTTTTTGTCCTGCATCGTCGACGCTTGATGTGCGTCAGCTGCAGAGAGTCGGTCGGGACGGTGACTGACTTTGCCTTTGGTTGAGTTAGCCAACGCATAAAAGACGGCTTCTTTTCCAAGGGAAGGAGCTGGGGCATCTGAATCATGCTGCTGCCTTTTGAGAGGATAACTCCAGCGCCGATTTTCATCAAATTTAATTTCCTCTTGAAGGACCACGGGCGACATCGACTTTAATAAACTTGTGCAAGAGCATCTGGAATATCATCATGCTCATGTCATTCAAGTCATTGTCAGATTAAGGAAATGACTAGTGAAACCAAGCCTGCTTTAAAGAGAGCTTCTCTAAGGAAAGCCTGAGACACTGGGCAAATGGCCGAGATGGTAAATTCACATTGGAGAAGGCAGAGAAGAGGCAAACTGGTGCTCCTTTTCTGCTGGCCTCTTCTCCTTCCGTTCCGCTCAGACTCACAGCTGGGGTGTAAACTAAAGAGTCATAGGAAGCGAGGCTCTTCCTCTGGGTCAGTCTACATCCTTTCTGCACACATCTTGAGCATGCAGCTGCTTACAGTTTTTAAAAGTCTGAATCAACAGCTCTAAATGTTGAATTATCATGTGCGATCTCCTTAAAATGTCAGCCACCTTTCCAAAAATCTGGAACTTGTCTCCAGCCACGCACTTGCACTAAATACGACTTTACTGCGCCACTGCAATGTAACGCTTGTATGAGGCTTTCACCATTTAAAGCTTTATAAATAGTTTTGCTACTGATGCGCTGTACTTGCCACGCCTTGCTTAAAACAAGTTTCAATAAGTGACCGTTTCATTCTCCTTTGTCTTCAAGATTTAAACATTTAAACACTAAGCAGCTTGGTGTTTAGTTTAAAAAATAAAATAAAAATAAAATCAGTGATTGTTTTTAAAATCCGAACAAACAAAAATCAGATTTTTATGAAGTCAATGAAAGCACCATGCCCAAAGGAAACTAGGTTGTGCCAACAAAATCACTCTTCCATGCAGAAGTTGCTGCTGCAGCAAAGCAGCCATTTTTAACCATGATGATAGTATATAAATAAAATGTTTAAGAAGTTACTCATAAGAAAACCCATTTACTTCAGATACGTCAAATGTTCTCCTTCACACAGCAACAGGGAATTGTACCTGACAGGCATCACGTACGGTCATATTCTATGCAACTTTTGGGTTACAAAAGTGAGCCGTTTTGCCACCTGAGGTCAAATAGTATTTGCCTTAGGAATATTTCAAACTCGTAAAAGGTTGTAGTGAATTCAGCAGGTAACAGAAGGCTAAATATTTGAGTAAAGCTCATGCATATGCATGAAGCGTTTGTCATTTACATGAATTACTTCTAGACACGATTGGCGCGAGTAGCGTTACAAGCTAAAGCCAGTTTGAAATGTCAACTCCCTTAGTTTTAAATTAGTAAAATCTCAAATGTTAAAGCATTTGCCCAGATTGTGTCGCGCTTGCTCTGCTCCTCATGCAAATAGTCACTGATCATGACTAGAGAGAAGAGAGACCTGTATCGGCTAAAATTAGCATTGGTCATTAGACGACCCCATCGAGCAGACAGCAAGACAAAGACACAGGTAGCAGCTTGTCAGGACCACCTGATGGCTGCTTCCATTATGAGCGGACCTCTGGCGTTTTTCCATTTTCTCTGCAGGATTCAATTTGTGACTAATGTTATGTCTGCTTTCCCTCCCCAGACCAAAACAAAAATGCAAACAAATAACCAAAATAAAGAAGATATTCCTACTGTTGTGACTGTTGCCAGTCTGTCCTCCTTTATGCCATTTTGTGTAAACTAATAATACAAATGATTAAAAAAAACAAAAACAAAAACATTTCATAAACCTTGACACATATTCTCTCTGGTGATAAATCACAATTCAGTTGTTGCTCTCTCGGCATTTCTAATGTCAATCCTGCTCATGATAATGACTGGATGAATTCATACTGGAATTTATTTCAAGCTCAAAACGCATAGGAGAGGCATTTAGGGAGGAAGTGCCGTCTGGTTTGCATGTGTGAGTATTACCTGGAAGGAGAGTCTGTCCTTGCTTGGGCTGAGCCTCATGTCCTCCATGGGGGTGTTGCTCATCATCACCTCAGTCATATCTGGGACGGGCACAAACACTGGGCTGCAGGGGGCGAAAAATGAGATTTAGTGAGTGTACGTTTGTGCGAAAGAGATGAAAAGACTCGGGAGTTATCCGACTGTCAACCAGACACAGAGGCAGAATACACATTAACAGCTTTCAATGCTGAAGTTTCAATTTTGTTCTGAGTCATAGAAAGATGAATATAAAAAAAAATAAAAATAAAAAATTGGGCTTACACATAATGCCATAAAATAATTGGGCCCAAACCTTTAAGTGCATTCACTTCCCTGTGTATGCTTCTACCGTTTTGTTTATTCTCTGCGCAACTTGACCACAACACACCAAGACATCCAGCCCCTGATTGGCTGTTCTAATGCACTGCAAAGCTGCAGCGCTCGTCATGCCATATGCAAAAGGTAGCCGTTTCTAAATACAGAAAGATGTGCTCTTGCGACTTGGAACAGTCATTGTGAGAGTGTGCTGGGGGCGTGCTGCGGTGTTTGAATAAGGAGGAACCTCATGCGCTCAAAGCTTGGACAAACTTTCTATTTCAAAATACTGTTTTTTTTTTTTTTTTCTAAAACTCATGCCTAGAGCTTTCTAGTGTTTTATGATAAAAGCAGAAAAAAAAAAAAGATACTTTAAGACCAGACTTGAGCCCTGAGACAAGATGCTGAGTGGCCTTCTCACGGTCTCTATTTAAAGCCTGGTGGTCAGTCAGTGGCCACAGGGTTGTGGTTTGTGTGTCTAAGGCTACTTGGGCCAAAGTAAATGGAACCTGACAAGATGCTTGCATGTATGCAAACATAATAGTATTTCAGGGGACTTCTTTGGTACAGGATGCGTGGGCTTGACTTGACCTAATTTTTTTTTTTTTTTTTTTTACAATATCGAAACTGGTGAAGATAAAATTTTAAAACCTAAAATACGTTTGTGCAATATCTGAGCTTTACTCGCTTTACTTGTGACTCAAAGTTGGAGACAAGTTTTGTAAAGTTTTCGATAAAACAAAAATAAAATGAAGCTCCAGTAAAAAGAAAAAACAAAACAAAAAAAAACGTTTTCATACTGATGTCAATTAACAAGTTGTGCCTAGGAAGTAACCTTCTGACGCATAATTTCGTACAGGTCATAAATAAGGTGTTGCTGTGACCAACGGCTTATTCACACGCCTATGGAGGCAAGCCGTCTTTAGGGAGCGCGTCCTGCTCCAATTTTTTTTTTTTTTACAAAAGGTCATATTGAGCAGGAGTGGTACTTCCCAAACAGGAAGAGCATCAGGTGGAGCGTGAAAGTATGTTCGTTTATAGAAGCATACTCTCTGCATACATGGTTAAATATAAACAAATACTGAAAAATATTGCACACACCTCTGGAAGAATAACACCAAAGCCAAACTTTTGTAGAGTCGTCGGCTAGGAATGCACTTCGACTACTGTCTGACAACTGTCGAATGCAGGAAGACTTGCTCTGTAGAAACATTAGCTTTTATTTTTTTTTTTTTAAACGAGTTGACGTGGCGAGTGTCTTTCACCTCAAGCGACAAACGAGAAAGCCATGCATTTCTAGTTCCAGCCATAACTACCGAGTGAAGTTATGCTGTAGCTATATCATTTATGAGCAGCTCCTTTAAAAGTGTTTTTGACATTGGAAATATGGCTCTTTGCCCAGGACACTTCTGTGTCAGAGGCCACAGAAGTGCTAAGGACTGACAGGGGAGATGGATTCTGGATTCATCTGTCAGTTTCACTCCAAACTGGCTATCTGTGCTTGTTTGCATACGCAACTCAGTGTTGTGCAAACCTTAAGTGCCATTAGCAAATATAGCTCAATACTATGATTGGGTAGGCTTGCTTTAGTTGGTGTACGATTCTAGATTTCTCTTTAGCCAAATTAAAATCCTCATTACATCTTTTTTTTATTTTAAAGAACTTAGCAGAATCGGTTTGTGTATAATTGAGTTAATTTTATGTATAAATCTGTCAGTCGCCCATCAAGTTTATTTTCTTCAGTACAAATCAAACTTATATTCTGTGGTGCAGTCAGTAATCAAGAGCATAAATTAACACACCGTCATCCAGATCAGGGTGAATCATGTGACATGATTCACTCAATTTCAGGAGATCAATAAACCCTGAAGCAAAGGCAGGTTCAGTTTTTCCATCTTTTTTTTTTTTCTACAACAGGTTGCAATGCGGCTGGGAAATGCTAAAAGCAAAAAATGCTTCCGACTGATTTTCTGCAAGTAATTGTTTCAGCACAGGCCAGATCAACAGGCTGAAACAATAGAAGGATATCCAAAAATAAAAGACCGCAGCTTTGTAGACTTATGAAGTTGGGGGAAGGGTGTGGGGGTGAATTGTAGATGTCTTTGAATTCAAATTGGTCCCCAAGTGGGGGACATGCAAGGGAGGAGGACAAAGGGATGAACACTGACAGCAAGGACCTGAGGAGACAACGACGAGAGGGGAAGGGAGGGAGAGAAGAGAAAGAAAGATAAACACTCCGGCCTTGCCAGTCATATTTCTGGTCTTGGATTGTATAAACATCCTGCTCGGCTAAGAATAACAGAACATCGGCCAATAAAACATAAAGGGGGCACAATGAGGAAGAAGTGGGAGTGCACGAGCGAAGAGTCGACCTGGGAAGAAACAAAATGCTGTCGTGTCGTTTCAAGCATCAAGAAACGAAGGACGTGTCCCAAAGAGGGACACTAAATACGAGAACACATTAGGAGCCGTCAGCGTCCTCAGCAGGCAGTTAAATGCAGTTCAGCAACAAACTACACCACATGTTGTTCTATATTGTAGAACCACATTTGAATTCAAATTCAAAGATGCTTTATTGACCCCAAAGGGAAATTAAATGTTGTAACTCAATTCAAATTCTTTATTGTACATAGTGATGGCAGCAAAGATCTCTCGTAGCAGTCTGTATCACAGCGAATTTGAAAAAGCCTCTGACAGATCCAACTATCCACTGGATCTGCTTAACAGGCTGGTGGGGTAGATGGCAGTAAGTCTTTGCATTTTGATTCAATCGATCCTGCTGGCCTCCACTGAGTACATGTTCAGTCTTGTGGTTGCATCCTATCGGACGCAAAAAGTTAAACAGTAAAGAGGGGATATTCATCCAATGACTGCATTATTCTACATTTTATGCCCTTTGTCCACAAAAACAGCTCTTGGCTGATAATGTTCTGAATTTTGGGATGTCACTGTAGTAAAACTGAGCTAAAATATGTAAAAAAAAAAAAAAAAAAAACTTTAATTTTCCAGATCATCTAAAATTTTAAGCATTTTTTCAAAGTTAGAAAAATAAATAACATAAAAATGAGGAGGAAGTGAGTGGACACATGTCGCATTGTAATCCCATTCCCGAAACAACTCTTGAAACCTTTCACAGACCGTCTATTTTGGTCATACTTTTTGAAGTACTCCTCAAGTCCTAATCACAGTTTTCCTCCAACATCTTGAGTAAAAAACAAGACCCAGGCGGCTCTGTGGCACCTTGTTTGTTTGTAATGGAGCTCGTCCCCCGAGCAGTCTCGGCACCAATCTCCCTACAAGTGAGGAATTTGAATCCTGCATCGCCGACATTGTTTCCTCCTTAGCCACCCGGTGGTTCTCGCTACTATGATTATAAATCTTGACTTGTGTGGCAGCATGGGCAAAGCTGCTGACATTCCAGGCCCGCAATGTACTTTACACTGACAACGTTTCATTGCTTGGCAGGTACAGCTGGGAGAGACCCTCACCCTTTTCTTCAACCACCACGTTTTCCACTGTTTTAAAACAGAGAGGATCGGACATTCGTCAGAAACATGTTGCCTTGTGTCAATCATGAATTTTGGGGTTAGACCAAACTATTGAGAAAAAATCTTCCCATCTACCCAGAAAATGTGTTCAGGCTAGGCAACCAGAACTCAAGTAAACCACCCAAACATCCCAGGTATGCTACTCAGATTAAATGCTCCTGCAATTGGGAAATTGAGCTTTCACAGAGATAAAATGACAAGACAAGCATGTGCCAAGTGCAAGCAAGCAAAGATTGGAAAAAAAGAGTGAGTGTGGTTACAGTAAAGAGCTAGATTCTCGACTTCCTGATAGAGACAGGCAGAAGCCTACTGAGGTTTTAATGGTGCTTGCAAAATGATTTCAAAGCAACTTGCACATCCTCCTGACAGGAGGGGGGGAGGGATGTTCAAGAGCACAGAAATCAACTTTCCTGCAACAAAAAATGGTGTTAATGAACACTCTGCCTCCGGATTTCAATGCACCTGCAGCTACTTGAAGACAAAGGGCGAAACAGGAAAGGCAAGGTGAACTTTTGTGCACAAAATACAACGAAATGTCAAAAACTAAACGAATGTGACGTCTCTGAAAAGGCACATATGGGACAGTCTTTAATCAAGCTGGTAAATAGCTGAAAAGTTTAGAGGATGGTTGAGGCGTTGTGTGTGTGTGTGGGGGGGGAGTGTAATACTTTAATTTGTTTACACCTTGATCCGTGTTGCCCTGAAATTTTCCAAGTTCAGGGGCAACACCCCGCAGAAAATCTCAAAGGAAACAAGAGTGGGTGTACAGCAACAAAGGTGGCGGATTCAGAGGGAAATCACCAAACAAAGTCAACCTCAAGCACCTCTTTCGTCGTTTCCCCCGACCAGTGCAATGTTTCATATCCGAGTAGTTTCACTTATTCAAATACAAGAACTACAGAGTGGCATAAAAAAAAAAAAAAAAAAAGCCCAGACGAGCGAGACAAACAGGTGCCATTAGAAGAGGTGCGAGTACTTACCAGTATATCTGCGGTGAAAATACAGACATGAATTCACACCTGCTGTCGGTTCAGTGAAATCTGATTAATTCTCTCCAAACTATTTTTACTTTTTTGAGTAAATGACTCAAAAAATGACTCTCCGGCAAAAAAAAAAAAGAACAAAAAAGCGAAAGTAACTGTGCAGCGAGTCGGACGGCCTGAACAACGACCACGGTTCCGTCAATTGATGCGTCTGATCGGAGAAACCAGCTGTGTTCAGTATTTATCCGAGAGGCGGTGCGCTCGGTCAGTCGGAGACACACCTCCCCTCCCCACAAGCCCCAAAATCCTCAATGGCAGCTCATTAACAGCGTCGGCCAATCAGAGCGCTTGTGACTCACCCCCCTTCCCCCCCCTCCAATCCTCAGGTCCCCGCCCTCGGCCCTGATGACGTAAGCAGTGACACAGCCTGCTCATTGGGAATGGAAGGCAAGAAGCTGCAACGTGCAATTGATTTGTAGTCTCCAAGGCAACAAAATGAAAGTCTTACCTCCCCATCCCCTTTTGAATGACAAAAACACGCTGATTTGCCCGTTAGGTGATGCGTGACATTCATCCAAATGAGCAGGAGACGGATTCATTCACAAATATATGCTTCAAGGGCAAATCAATGTCTATATTCAGCTGTTCAGTGTGCATGCACAAATCAAGCACACACACATCACAGGCTGCCTTTGCAACCTGTTAAATGTCGTCAAAGCTTATGGAGGAAGTTTTTTTTTTTTTAATTTTCTTTCCCTCGTTGCTCAGACATACTCAGGTTACGGTTGTGACATAAAGAGCATTACCGACATGCGCATTTTCAAAATTGCCCTTTAGTCTGCTCATTGCTGTACTTTTAGGAAAGTGCCTTGCAGTTTTCAGAGCAGACAGTGAAAATCGTAGGGATGCCTCTACTGCCACCTTGTGTCTGAAAGCTATTGGCGACCCTGTTCCCCATGGCCCATTAGCTATAGCTTGCCCGTAGTCAATATACTTGGTATGCCAGTGGCTGTTTGCTATTTCTAGTCGATAGCCAAAATTCAGCATTAGTAGCTCCAAAGTCACAACTTGTAGCCTATGCCTTTTTCTACTCTAGTTGATGACCAGGTCAAATATTTTGACTGCTGTGTTATAGTTAGCCAGTGGTGGAGAAAGTACTCAAAAAATTTACTTAAGTAAA